TCCATTGTTGACTTCATAGGTCATTTTTCACCTTGTAGAGCACTGTATTTGGGTTAAGTGCTGATCAGGCTCTTGGAGTAGTAGCTTATGTCTAAGAATTCCTTGCAAATATTTTTGCTTAAAGGCTACTGCCATGGGAAGTCAGGCCCAGAGCAGAGGCTCATATGACAATTCAGGGCAAATTGGAATCTTGAGAATGTGTCCATTGTTGACTTCATAGGTCATTTTTCACCTTGTAGAGCACTGTATTTGGGTTAAGTGCTGATCAGGCTCTTGGAGTAGTAGCTTATGTCTAAGAATTCCTTGCAAATATTTTTGCTTAAAGGCTACTGCCATGGGAAGTCAGGCCCAGAGCAGAGGCTCATATGACAATTCAGGGCAAATTGGAATCTTGAGATAGATTTTTACAGCCCCCCCCCTCTGCTCGCTTCTCCTCTTGTGATAAAATCGGTTGACTTGAAGCTAAACATATGGCAACTGCCATCATAACACAGAAGCCATTCTCTCTGCCATGGCAACTGAAGAATCAGTGCATACATATGGCTTGGACTTAATAAATGTTCCACAGCACAATGTATAGGCATTTTGTTTTTGTTTATGTGTTTCTTTTCAGAAGCATTTGGAGTAGCAGCTGAGAACTGATACCTGTTTCTTAAACACACCTCTTGTCTTTCTGTAAGGAAAACTGCTTGGAATTTCTTACGTATCTTGTTCTACTTCATTTCTGTGGAGCTTCTTAATGGAATCGTATTTCATTTCCAAATACCAGGGATGTTATCCATCCCCGAATACATTAGATCCAATTCAGTTTTCTCTCAAAGATCTTTGAAATTGATTCACTAATATATTGTTCCTAAGTTGTACACCCAAGGGACAGCATGAAGATTAGAAGAACTGCCCTAATGCATCTGACATCTACGGGCTAAATAATTTGGCTCAGTTGTGATGAGAGCATCAGATGTGCATTCTGCCTAGGATTTTAAGAATAAATGTTTAAGTTTTGCTCCAGTGTTCATCTCAGTAGTGCATTCTCTCTTTGTTCAATCCCCAAAGGGTAAATACTTCCTATTGTCTATATCAAAGTAGTTTCATAGCCTAAATGGTTGGAAAAGGGAGAAAAAAAGGGATATTTTCTGTGAGAAAGCCTTGCCAGGGGCCATTTCTTCAGACTTTACATAACCTCATTGCAAGTAAAAACCAAGTCAAAGAGTTGAATGGAGCAATAACTGGGATTAGGAAGTGGAAGTTTGATTCTACTTCTGTCTTGCTTTCACTGCTTCCAGTCCCTCAGATGGAGCAGGGTAGTATAGCCCATGATGCAAAAAGGGCCTTTCTGCATGAAATCCAGGTTCTTTTAACTCTTAGGAATGTGTTGTTTTGCTCTGTGTCATGTTGAGCCATTAGCATTTTAATTTAGCTTCATATGGCACTGTTCTACAGATGGATTTGCTTCTTGCTTTTGTTTATTGTACGAGTGACAAACATGAGGGCATTTTCTTGATGTGGAAAAAAAAAAATGTCGTGAAGTTGTGAAAATGAGGTGACTACTCCTTGCCAAGCCCCAAGGAATGTGAAATCAGAGATGGCTCAGACAAGAAACCGCACGTGTTCCCAATATTAAAGTACTCAGGAGCCCTGATTTGATCAAAATGGAGTCTGATGGAGGTATAGAGCCTCAGACATGACCTTGGGCTTCTTTCTCTGCTAAATGGGATGTGGCTTGTCTTACACTTCTGAAAATCATTCATTCAACTTTTTCTTTGATGGAGAATCCTTCTTCCTTTCTTTGGAATTTGAGCACACTTTGGAAATTGGGCACACTATTTTGAGGACATTCTGGTGAGTTGGTTGTTTACTCTTATAAAACTATTTTCAGACATTGAAGGGATTCTGCTTTATGACTGTATTACTCCTTGAGGTCTGTAGATTTTTTAAGTTTCATTTATTTTATTTATGATAGACAGTGAGTACATGTGCATGAGAGAGAAAGAGATATGCACCTTCAACAAGGTCTTTTCACACCATAATTCCCTTCCTTCAACCCTCTATCTCATTATGTTTTGAGTGGAGGCATTATGTTTTGGGGCATGTGTGTATGTATTCAGAGTGTTTTCAGGCTGAACCAGGGATTTGAATCCATAGTTGGCCATGTGGCATCCAACATTACCGTCTAAAATGCTATCTACTGTGCCATCAGGCTGTGCCAGGCCTGTACATTTTTACATTTACCTGGTATCCTTCAAGCCTTCCTTTATGGATTGGGTATATAAGTAAACAACTTCCTTATGGGTACTTTTATAATAAAATAGACAATAGCTTTGGGAGATGGGAAGCATAAGAAACTCTTTTATAAAGGCCATCTCTTCTCTATATGTTGTATAGTCCTAGGCACTTTGCCTTTTGTTTCATATTTATTAAGACTTCTTAGGAGGTGGTATGCAATATAAGTCAGTGATGGTCAGTAATTGTTTCAGTTACTAATCCAGAATTAATGACAGACAGCACTAATCAAACAGCACATTC